CAACATCCTCTATTCCAATGAAGTTGAAAAAAATGGGATCTCCAAAGCCTAGGAATATTTTAGCTCTAGGGAGATACTGAATCTGGAGTTATATCCTTTTTTGTTTAGGTAGGTTGGTTAACAAATTGTTTGAGATGGCCAAGAATCGAGAAAGCTAAAAGAGCACATAATGGAGTTTTAAAGACATTCTGAAGGTTGTAACTGCTAACTTTGCTCTGCACTTAGCGTCCTATAATTCCACTACCTATTTTAGCATCAACCTACCGTAGAAGGGAACTCCACTTTGCATGTAAGAGTAAATAGGCCATCCCTAAGCTTTTACGTGGCAGGTAGGTGGTGCAGTAGATAGAATGCCAGGCTTGGAGTTGAGAAGACTCATCTTTGTGAGTTCAAATCGGGCCTCAGATACTAGATGTATGACCCTGGGTGAGTCACTTAACCTTTTTGCCTCAGTTTCCTCCTCTGTAAAATGAGCTAGAGAAGGAAATGGCAAACCACTCCAGCCTTGCCAAGAAAACTCCAAATGGGATCATGAAGAATTGGAAATGAATAAAACAACTGGACAACAACAAAGCTTCCACTCACTCCCTGTGTAAGTGGGGACGCTGAAAATCCTATTAGTTCTTAATTCAGTCTATAATAATCATAGGCTAAGGTTTTTTAAATGGATTATTCACAAATCATTAAGTTCCTTTTTTCTGTCATTAAAACAATTGAAACTTGATGGAACCACCCTCACTTGGTTGAGTATCTACACCAAGAAAAAGCGCTATAAAAATAATTATTCTAGAAACAACTTCCAGGGATCATCTTGTCTAACCCATTCTTCCTCCAAACATGCAATAAAGAGAGAGACAAGGGAGATTAAGCTAGCTACAGAAATTTTATGGTCAATTCATCTTACACTAAAGCAAAAGAAAACAAAATAGTTTAGTTATAAAATGTAATTGTCCGGATAAAAAAGCCCATCTTGAAAACCTTAAATAGTTTTAACTATTAATGTACTATAAAGAATTCTGAGCTTTATAGACTATATTTATCCTCAAAAGGTAGAAACTTACGTAAAAGTGATTTTTCCCTTTGTCAAAAAATGTACCACCATTTTGTATTTTCATAGAGTAAGGAAACAACAGAAAAAAAGACTGGTACAGTGGGAAAAGCTCCGGCAAGACAACTGACTTCTAATCCTTTCTCTACCGCTTACTACCTATGTAACCTTAAATCACTTAACCTCTCAGGGCCTCAGTTTCCTCATCTGTAGAGTGAAGGGGCTGGATTTCCAGCTCTAAATCTATGAGCCTGTAAGCCTGTGATTTCTAATCTCTTGCAGCTCTGACATGCTATGATTCTATAGAAAGACAATTAAATGATTGTGATCAAAACGAATCACTAATGTCATACCATTATGTTCTGTGCAAATGAAGTCTGACTTGTCTGTCGTGCAAGGAGGAAATCTTTCTCTTATGGTATCTAGTTAATAGATGATGTCTCTTTGAACAAAGAAGCCTCATTGCCAGAGAGTAAATGAAAATCTGAGAACTGAGCAATTTGCTACTCCCTTACAAGTTAGGTCAGGCTTATTTTAAATCACTGCTACCAGCTGCTTCTGTTTTAATGTTCAAATTTAATTTGAGATGAACTACCTTGATGTCTCTCTGCCAAATGAATAAAGTTTATTTATGAACTTGAGAAATATTTATGCATATGGAAACACTGAAGAGATTGAGGACCATGAGCTCTTTGCGTATAACTTGAATAGAATTAGCACACTAGGACGACATTCATTGCTTTTTAGAGATTTTTTTAAACTTCAGTTGAACCAACCAGCACAGATTTATCATTGCTTTCATGCAGTATTGCAAAGTATTTTTTTTAAAGCATTAGTTTCACAACTTGGTGGTACAGTGTATAGAGCACTGAGTTTAGAATCAGGAAGACTCATCTTCCTGAGTTCAAATTCGGCCTCAGACACTTACTAGCTGTGTGACCCTGGGCAAGTCACTTAACCTTGTTTGCCTGAGTTCCTCATCTGTAAAATGAACTGGAAAAGGAAATGGCAAACCACTCTAGTATGTCTGCCAAGAAAACTTCGAAATGGGGTCATAAAGAGTCAGACATGATGGAAACAACTCAACAACAAAACAACAACAACAAAGGATTGTAAAATTAGTTCAAGAAAAGTGAGAAAATTTTTATGTAAACTTTCTATGAAATATGAAATGCTTGCTGAAAGAAATCAAGTAAGAATTTGAGACTAGAAATAAATGTGTTTAAAACCAATCCCCTATTATGCAAATATGCACCATCACTCTTTAAAAGTTATGGGAAGTGAAAATGTTTACACTGACACCTAGGTTTTGGGCTTGAGTGACTGAGAGGATAATGGTACTGTTGACGGAACAGGGATTTAGGAAGAGGGAGGAGGACTTGGGAAGAGGAAGATAAAGAGTTTCGTCTTAGACATGTTGAGTTTAAGATGTATAAGACACATCCAGTTCCAGATGTCCAATAGGAAATTGGATATTTCATGGAATCATAAAACATCAGAGCCGGGAGAGGAACACTGGAGATCATCCAGTTTATTCCCCAACCCCTCATTTGACAAATGAGGAAACTGAGGCACAGAGAAGTTGACATTGCCTTGGAGTTACACAGCTAGTGAGTGGTAGACCTTGGGCTTGAATCCAATCTTACGACCCTTTCATGTAGTGCTCTTTCAAAACCAATAAAATGCTATATTGTTACAAATGAAAAACATGAAAATATGGAAAAATTTATGTGGAATAAATCAAAGTGAAAAAAGTGTTTCTGTTCTGGCCAGAAACCCTGAAGGTCTCCCCCTCCCAACCTGATTTTTTTGAATAGGTAAAAGAAGCCATTCTTTACCTCATTTCTTACATAGTCTTAGTCATTGAATTGGTGTCACCTCAGACAAACTGAGACTTGGGAAAGACTTTAGCTTAAAAAGATCAAGGTCTCCTACTGCATCTAGGGTCATCTCCTACCATTCTGATCTATGTTTTGCCATTGGACCCAGATGGCTCTGGAGGAGAGAGTGAGGCTGGTGACTGCACAGCTCTGCCTCACTTAAATCCAATTCATTCGCAAGTCAAGACATCACTTTCCTGATGTCATTGGTCCTCTTTGAGAATGAAGGACAAACAATAACAAACATTCCTCAAGCAGAATGCCCAGTAACCCTGTTGTGAGAGTTTCTTTTTCCTCTTTACTAAACTACTCCAATGACTAAGCATCTCAGATGGTATATTTGAGAATGCTCGCCTAGCTATGCTCCTAAACACAAGAATGCCTGATGAGGTTCAGTTGAAGGAAAAGGAAATGCCACAACAGATCTTCATGCAGAATTTAGATGGTCATTTGTGGGGATACTATTGAGGCATGTGCATATAACTAGATGATTTCTAAGGTTCCTTTTATAGTTCTAAGAACTGGGCCTTGGTTCGTTAATCTGTAAGATGAATTCAACATGTCCACAATTCTTTCTTATCCAAAGGCTCCCTTCTTCCTAACTCCGCCATTCCTGTGGGGGAGTTCCTGTGTATCACCATTCTCCCATTCACCCAGATGATATCTGAGATGCCATTATCTATTATCCTCTGAATATAATATTCAATATTCATCATTTGGTGAAATACAAATGAAGGACCAGGTAGAGCACAATATGGAGACAATATTTTTACCAACAAAAGACCATGCCCTAGGCTCTTCTCTCCTCTTTTAAAGCCCCCCATACTCTCTCTAAGTCATTTCCATACACCCTTGGTGAGTACAATTGAAGTCAGTATTCCTTGGCAAGACTGAGAAAAGGAGAGAGTCATGTGGAAATGTGACTGTATACATGTTATATCCTTATCCATCCATCCTATGAACTTGAATTTGAGGAAGTGGAGCAAATTCAACATTCAATCACTCACTGGGAAACAGGGTTTAGGTAGCACATCTCTAGGGTCCCCTGCTTAGTAGGCCTCACTAGTCATGCCCACAAACAACTTGGTTATCACCATTATTTTACTGGAAAATGCCAATCAGGAATATAGTAAGGTTGCCAATGCAGGAAAGACGTATGGAAGCATGGAATATCAGGAGGTATTGATCTTTTCAAAACACAATTTTAATTTTTATTGGTATATTTTGTTTTTATATCACTTCCATTTCTAAATATATCCCTCTTTACTCCCTTACTCAGTGATCCATCCCTTATAACTGAAGATTTTCAAAAAATAGAATAGAAAAAATAGAAAGCAATGCAGCAAAACCAACCAACGTATCACACAATGAAACGATCCTTGTAGTACCTGATTTCTCCGTTGATGGAAAGGAAGGGCACAGGATCATAGATACAGAACTGGAAGGGACTTCAGAGGTTCTCTGGTCCAAACCTCCCTTTTCACAGTTAACAATACTGAGGCCTGGGGATGTTAACTTATTGGCCTGTCGTCATAGAGGCAATATCAGAGGAGGGGAGGTTGAAATTCATGTCCCCTTACTCCAGAATCAGAGTTTTTCCCCCACTGTACCATATTGTACCACAATACTCACTCTCTTAGTTTCTTCTTCAGAGACAAGCTTGATGATTAGAATTCTGTAGAATTCTGTATTTTGTTATTTGCATTGCTGAAGTCATTGGGTGTATTGTTTTCTTGGTTCTGCTTACTTTATTCTATATCAGTTCACAGGAGTGACAGATTTATTTTCATTGTGGTCTAATAGTAAGCTTTATTATATGACTTTACATTTGTTTTTATTTTTTTCTCAGTGTCACTTTCTCTTTGAATCTGGGGATCAGGGATAGGGAAGGTGTTTACATTCCTGTTTGTCTACTTGCTTTTTCTGGACCCAGTGGAAGAACTTTGTCTGCAAATGCAGATGGTGAATTCAGGAGTCCCTCTCTAGAACAGATTATAGGGCTTGAAAGTAGACATACTGGGTTTATATTACTTGCCTACATGTGAAAAATGTGTTTTCTTTTAAATTCCTAGCTCTGGGAAATCCCCAGTACGTCACTTTCCAGGAGCGCCAGTGGCACAGCGACTGTTTCAGATGTGGAAAATGCAACGCCTCCTTAGTGGGCCAAGGCTTCCTGACTCATCAAGACACCATTCTCTGCCAGGAATGTGGTTCCAACCCAGAGTCTGAGATCTGAGTGGTGCAACACTCCTTTCACCTGTGTTTCTTGAGGGTTTCACTCTCACTAAATCTAGACCTCAACTGAAGTAAGATGTTATTGCTGTTCAGTTGTTTCAGGCGTATCTGACTCTTCATAACCTTATTTGGGGTTTTCTTGGCAAAGATACTAGAGTGCCATCTCCTTCTCCAGTTCATTTTACAAATGAGGAAACTGAGGCAAACAGGGTTAAGTAATTTTCCCAGAGTCACACAGCTTCTAAGTGTCTGAGGCTGGATTTGACTCCAGGCATGGTGCTCTACTGTGCTATCTAGCTACCCTGAAGTAAGAAATTGATGTTAATTTCTAAACAGGCCTCAGGGAGAGAGCTTGTCTGAATAGTTTTCTCATATACCTTACTTGTAACCATTTTAACAGGCTGAGAAAAAAAAGGCTTGTCTGTCTCCTCAATCTAAAATATGCCTTTTCTTATATCATACTGCACTCTGCTGTTAGAGCCTAAAGACAGTATGACTCCACTGAAATTGAATATGTGATTTCTATCTAGGAGTCCTAAATGAGTTATTATCGAGAGGAGAATGATCGTAGAGTAACCATAGAGCACAAGTATATCCAAACACTTCAAAGAGAAGATGTATATGCTTACCAATCTCAACTAACATAAAGAATTTTCTACTACTTAAGAGATATACTTATGCCACAAAATGGGGTTCTTTGTGAGTCATAACCAAAGAAAAAGTGTCAGGCAAGGTTCATTGACAATGACCACATCTGGGACTTTCATACAATGAATTTGTATCACTTGCCTCTCAATCTTGTACTGACACTGGAGCTGAAAAACTAAGGTACATTTATATTCCTGCCTACTGTTTTCCAAGCAGACTTATTCCTACTTAAAAACAGGAAAACTATAAATCTCCTCCTCTAAAGCTGAGGTATACTGCCAATGCACAAAAGATGTTCTGTACTCCAGGTACTATCTAATCACAGATTCAGCATCTTCTGTAGCTTTTTCAAATGTACATTTTTAAAACAAAAACTACAGATACCATGAAATGTAAGCTCTTTCTTTCAAATAGAATGAACCAGAATTATCCTTATCCCCAAAGACACAAATTTAAAATAAACAGTTCTTTATGTTGTCTTTTGGGGAAGTGAGGTTTCAGGGAGGGGTTGCGTGTTTTTGCATTTTAAAAATGCAGATATAAAGGTAACTCCATAAAAGAACCTGGCCCTGTATTGTAACAGCCGTAGAGATGGATACACTGTCTCAGAATGCAAAGGGTAACTAATTTCATGGACTGAGGGGTCTCTGAAGTCTTTGTGAAGTAGTTGGAAAGAAGGAGGACAAAAGATGATGCTAGGTCAAAATGATGAGTCTTGAGGCATCTTCCACCTTGATGTCATGCAAACCCATTAAAAAGTTCATAGAGTGGAACAGAAGGGCACAGATGCTTGACTTTGCACATCTAGATGAAGGGCGGTCCCAACTCTCACGCTCTTGGCTGCCTTTCTTCTCCTCCTCCTTCCCCACATCCTTTAAGGACACTTCCAGAGACCCTCTCTCCCTGCTCCCTATTTCCCCATATATGACACAGTCATTGAGTGAATCCTGAGACAGTGTCTCCATCTTTACAAGTAACTTTAATGCTACGACAGATTCCAAGGCAGGGTAATATACAAAGGCTTTACACAATGGACACTATGCATGTATTTTAATCATTTTACCTTCTAAAGTTGCATATATGATTAACTCTTATTCCCACCCACCTACTCCCATCTACTTCCTGCCAAGGACGGGAGTAGTTATTAATTTAATACAAAAGCTAATATGGCCTGAAAAATAAGCAGCCTACATGGCAGCCATGAAGAAGATGGTGTGCCTATGATACAGGTGCACCTCCCTCACCAGTTGTCTACAAATACATATATTTGGTCAATGGGGGAAACAGGATATGCAATTGAAAAGTTTAAGTTCAAGCCTATCTGCTAGAAAAGCACTATTAGAACAAGAGTTCAAAGCACAGAATCTAATCATGATTGGCACAATGTATCATCTTTGCACTGTCTTTGTAAATGGACAGGTATATATGATATCAGATGGCAACAGATGATGTATTTGTCTGACTAGTCTTTGTTGTCAGATTTCCATAATGAGAAGCAAATTTCATGAGGATTTATATAAGATTACATGACAGAAGCAATTATGGATGCACCTTTGTTCAATGATCTGCTAAGTATCAATACCAAGTGAAACATCAAATAAGAAGACACTCACCAAAGGTGTCAGAGAGAACGTGAAGCAAAGTGTCATGAGGCAGGATGGATAATGCTAGATTTGGAGTCTGGAAAATCTAGGTTCAAATCCTGCCATGGACCCTAATCAAATCATTTAACCCCCCTAAGCTTAGTCCTCATAAGTGAAATATAGAGGTTAGACTTGATGACTAGTACTTGAAAAGGATAGGGAGCTCAGCCAAGAACTGAGTAGACAGAGTTAGATGCAGATTATATTTGGGAAACTGAACCCTGCTCTTAGTGAACTCAAGCTGACCCCTGATGCAAAAGCCCATATTTTTTAAATTAAAATTTGTTCTGGTGATACTATGTGGTTGTAAATCATGGAACACCAAAATTCTTAGGAATCGCAATGGCAAATGACTCACAGGGCAAAGAAAGATGCATGTTGGTTGCATGTAAGTTTCAACTTCTTGCCACTAAGGAGTTGTACTTGAAACTACATAAAAGACATGGAGTAATAGAATCTTAGATTTGGAAGTTATCTCAGAGGTCATCTAATCCAACCCATTCCTGAATAAGCATCCCTTGTATAATATATGCCAAAGTGATCACCCAGGCTTTGATTAAAGACTTCTGGAGAAAAGAATCTGTTACCTCCCAGGGCAGGTCATTCTCCTTTTGGACAGGTCTAATTATTAGGAAGTTTTTCTATATGCTGAGATGTAATTGCTCTCTCTGAAGTGTCTATATTCTGGGAACACACAGAATAAATCGAATATATTTTCCATACAACAGCCCTTCAAATATTGGAAGAGAGCTGTCACATACTTTCTACATCATATATTCTCTGGGCCAAATATCTACAGTTCCTTTAATCATACTAATATCACTTGAACTGAAGACCCTTCATCAAGGGTATGTATGACAGGAAAATGAGAAGGCTGGTCATATCCATTAGGAGTTATGGATAGCAAATAGACAGGCTGAACATTGCCCTTATAACTGCAAAATATTAAAAGGAGAGGAAGAAGGCCTCTAGTGCATTAGGAAAACACCTTATAGAGGATTTATAGAAATACGTGGACAAGAATTGCACAAAATTGGGGTTATGATCTGCACTAGTGGATGCATTCAATTTTGACTTTATTCAGTATGATCTGAACTAAACATAAACCCTCACTGATGACATCATGGATTCACCAAAGTATCCAAAGTATCAAAGAAAGACAAATTGGTTTACTAGCTAGATTGATAGACGTGAAAGTCCAGAAAACATGGGTTTAAATCCCACCTCAAACGCTTACTAGCTCTGTGACCTTGGGCAAAGCACTTAACCACTCTGTGCCTCAGTTTACTCATTTATAAAATGATGGAGTTGAATCAATGATTTCTTCTGCCTTTTTCAGCTCTGAATCTATGATACTATAATTTTATAATCTCTTACCTTACATGGACAGCCATACCCCTGGTTCCCAGGCCTGCCAGCTATGAAGATAAGGAAGGGGTGAAAACCACCACCATACACATGCATTTTTGTAACCATTCACAGAGTGGTTCATCATACATATTTAAAAAAATGCCGATTGGGGCTTAATTATATGCTTTCACTGATTACAATGGTTAAAATAGCATCACAGGTTTGATTAAAATTGTTATGGAAACACAATTTTTGAAATATTTAAAGTGCAAAGACATTTAAAGATGCTGATAAAAAGATCAGGCTCCTTGGAAATTTTGATAAAAGCTGCTCAAAGTCTTTTAGATGAATAGTGCCTGAACATCTCCATAGGTACATCGTAGAATACCAAGAACAATCACCAATATTATATGTTTTGAGCATTATCCTAAAATTACATGCCTAAACCTGAATGTGATGGATATGCTAAGATCTCAGCAGTGACATTGGATTACATATTTTAAAATCTAGAGAAGTGATGTCAGGTGGAAGACAGAGAGTAGCAGACTCATGGTCAGAATACCAAAATTCAAATCTTTCTTCTGGTGCTTACAACTTAATGTGGCCAAAGGCAAGTCATTTCACTTCTCTCAGCTTCAAGCAGTTCTCTAAGTTATAGGTAAGTTACAGGAGTTGGTGTCCCACCCTAAGGAAGTCATAGGTCTTTGACATATCAAGAAAACTATTCAAAAGGAAGATGTCTGTCCAATTTTGAAGCGTGATGTTCAATTTACTCATGAGTAATTTTAGAATTTGGAGAATTGAATTGAAAAGCTTGGCATTTCTTGGAGACTTGTCCAATTAAAAGATCCACAGATTCATGTCATAAAAATCACTCTTCTTGGGGCAGCTAGGTGGTGCAATGGATAGAGCTCCAACCTTGGAGTCAGGAGGACCTGAGTTCAAAGCTGGCCTCAGACACTTACTTGGGCAAGTCACTTAACCCTGACTGCCTCCCTCATCCCCTCCCAAATATACCAGATAAATCTTGCCCTCAAGGAGCTTAAGAGAAAGATTCAAGGACCCAACATACACACATGAAGAAAACTGAATATATGCACAGAGCAACATGTTCAACAAAGAGAAACTAATAAAGTCTAAATATTAAATATCTGAGTATTAAGATAATGTCAAGTAGAAAAGTGAATAGAGTCAGAGGGGGTCGCAGAATCACAGAATTTCAAGGAACCTCAGTAACCATCCTATCCTGTACCTGAAAATTACTTCTTGGTGATGATTTCTAGCTTGTTCTTGAGTATCTCCATTACTGAAGAATTTACCACCTCTTGAGCCAGTCCATTTTACTTTTGGGGAAACTCCAAATTACTAAGAAGCTTTTTCCTTGCATCAAGCTGAAATCTACTCTCCTATAATTTCTACTTATTGGCCCTAGTACTACCCTCCAGGGCCAAGGAGAA